TCCATCTCCCTTATTTCCTTCTACAGTACCTCTTTCCTTCTTTCCTCTCTCCCTTCTTCCTTCTTTTCTTCTGTCTCTCTTCCTTCTACCTCCTTCCTTCCTTCTTCCTCCCTACCATCCATCCACGCATCTATATCCCTTATTTCCTTCCACAGTAATTCCTTCCTTCCCCATCCACCCTTCATCCATCTTCCGTGATTCTTTGGCTGTTTTGCTCCGTCTTTTCTGCTCCGTCTTTGCACCCTCCTTTTGTTTCCCTAAGGGCCACCCGAGGCAGGGGTTCAGGTGTGTATATAACGATTGACAGTCCAAGGACCAGCTTTCAAGGACAGCTTTTAAAACTTTGGAACCTGGATCCTAGCAGACGCTCCTTGGAAGACCTCTCCTCTCCCATCTCCTGACTGGCTGTCAAACGTTGCTTAAGCCGAACCCGTTTCTTCCAAGCATATCAGCCACAATGCACTTAGCCAAACCGGACTAATACCCAAAAAAGGAACCGAGATCTAAATGAATCGGCAGCAGGGAGAAGAAAAGGGTAGGGAAGAAAACCCAGAGAGAAGCTTTCGTAACTTATTTGTTTACTTTTCAGAGGCCGAAAAATATTAGAAAAAAGGAACTTAAATCCAAAGTCTTGCTTGTGTTGCCGTTGATGCTGTGTGGAGTTGTCTGACTTTGTCCTTCTGTTGCACAGGTGATGGCCCAGATCCTAAAAGACACGGGGATTACAGAGTATGAGCCCCGGGTTATAAATCAGATGTTGGAATTCGCATACAGTAAGTGCTCCCTTGGTTGCCTTTTTGTGTGTCCGTACACCTTCCTGTTTGCTCTCTCTCTCCCATGGAGGCGGGATACAGAATAATGAAATAACCTTTAAAAAAAAAACGTTGCAACAGGTTCTGTCTCCTCGATCAGCTCCAGCGTAGAGGCTCTGAACAATTCCAGATAAAACAGGGCTCCCAGTTTTCCTGCCACAAAATCAGAAGAGAGGCAGTAAGAGGGCCGAAATCTCAATGCTGTTAAACCCTGTCCAATTTTATTTATTTATTTGTGATGGAGAACAGGCCTCTGCAAAACCGGTCCTTCTGGGGCATGATGGCGTCTTGGTCTTTTTTCAGTGCCATGGTAACTTCGAACAGTCACTAAACAAATTATTGTAAGTACAGGTAGTCCTCGCTGTCAGGATTCTGGCAGTTACTCCCCAATTAAATCCTGAGTCTTGAGCCAAACTTCCAAAACTTCAAAAGGATTTATTGGGAGTTAACATGTCCTGCACTGCCTGGGTGCAGCCGACTCTGAGACACAGAACTTATTGTCACTTTTGACCCTGCTTCCCCCACCCCAAGGGTCCCCCCCCCCCGGGGCCCCCCCTCTCCCCCCCCCCCCCCCCCCAGGGTATATCATAATTCATATTCTCCAATGGGACACATCCATAGCCCAGAGTCCTCAATCAGGCTCTCCAGTTAGAATTGTGCGTGGCAGAAACTTCAGTCACCTAGTTAACTATCTTTGAAAACATTTATGGAATGCACTTTCGGTTTGCAAGCTGCCGCAGTGCTCCCCCCTCCCTTTCTGTTGGCAACTCTAAAAAGATCATAGAAATATTTTATGAGTTGGCGCTCTACTTACAGCGCGTCTTTTAGTGACCGACGTTACAACGGCACTGAAAAAAATGGACTTTTGGCCTTTTTTCACACTTAACGACTTTTGTGGCATCCCCATGATCACGTGATCAAAGTTCAAATGCTTGGCCACTGGTTCATACTTACGACCGTTGCTGTGTCCCAGGGGGGTCATGTGATCCCCTTTTGCGACCATCTGACAAGCAAAGTCAATGGGGAAGCCAGATTCATTTAAAAGCCAGGTCACTAACATCAACTGTATTGATTCACTTAACAATCGAGGCACAAAGGTCATAAAATGGGGCAAAACTCAACAAATGTCTCATTTAACATCAGAAATTTGGGGCTCAATTGTGGTCATAAAGGCAAGGACTACCTGTATTCCCATTGTGTTCCTTTCTCATTGTTTGTTCTTTTGTTTTACTTCTGTTTATACTCCTTTCATTTTTCTTCTTTCTTTATTCCTCTAAACTGCCTAAGAGCAGCTGCACGGCGAGATAGGCGGCAAATAAACTTAATGAATAAATTCATGCTGTTGAGGTTTTTAGTGACTTAATTTATGGAACATCCTTTAACGTGTGCCTTTATCGGTTTGCTACTTGGTTCAAAATTGTGTCCATGGGAACGATAACCAGTTAGGGAACCTGAAGGTACAGATACAGATTAACAGTTGGAAGGGACCTTGTAGGTCATCTAGCCCAACCCTCTGCCCAAGCAGGAGACCCTACACCATTTTTAACAGTCTTTTCTTGAAAGCTTCCATGGATGAAGCTCCCACAACTTCCGAAGGCAACTTCTGTTCCGTCGGTTGATTGTTCTCACTGTCAGAAAGTTTCTCCTTATTTCCAGGTTGAATCTCTCCTTGATCAGTTTCCATCCATTATTCCTTGTCTGGCCTACAGGCGATTTAGAAAATAGCTTGACCCCCTTCCTCCTCTCTGTGGCAGCCCCTCACATATCGGAAGACTGCTATCCTGTCTCACCTGGTCCTTCTCTTCACTAGACTAGCCAAGCCCAGTTCCTGCAACCATTTTTCATATGTTTTAGTCTCCAGCCCCTTCATCATCCTGGTTGCTCTTCTCTGCAGCTTCAACAATCTTTTCTATAGGGTGGTGAACAAAACTGGATGCAGTACTCTAGGTGTGGCCTTACTAAGGCTTTACAGAGTGGTATTAGTACCTCACTTGATCTTGATTGTATCCCTCTGTTAATGCAGCTTAGGATTGCATTGGCTTTTTTGGCTGCTGCTGCACACGGCTGGCTCCTATTTAGCTGGTTGTCCAAGATCCCTCTCACAGTACCTGCTATTGAGCCTAGTACACGACGGGATGAGAGGACAGGCTGCTGTGTGTCTGGTTCAGCTGGCCTGAACATTGTTGGCCTTCTCCCTTTTCACCTGCTGTTTGTTTCCTGAAAAGGGTACGTGACGACAATCCTGGAAGATGCGAAAATTTACTCCAGCCACGCCAAAAAATCAAGCGTCGACGCAGATGATGTGAGGTTGGCCATCCAGTGCCGGACAGACCAGTCCTTCACTTCCCCTCCGCCCAGAGACGTACGTTTCTCCTGATTTAAATCTTGGGGGAAGGGAATCGCTTGTTTTGACCCAGCTCCCCAAACACGACAAACCCTCTGAAGTGAACTCAAAAGACTCCTTGAATTAAGAGCTCCAGCAGCTCCGACAAAAAGTTTCTCTCTCAGTGCAGTGGCTCTTTCGTCCCGAGGACCAGCCCATAGATTTCCACTGCTCTCCTCTCCTCTGCCTTCCATACATCCGCACGTCAGGCACTGGATCCAGTTGTTCCTCCTCTGCGTCATCAGCCACCTCCAGACCTGGGGGCTGTTGACTCTCCATCGGAGGGCTGACGGATGGCCCAGGCTCCTCCGCCTGTGTCCGTCTCTCTGCCAGCTCCTTCTTCCCCCTCAGAGCTTACGGGTTGCCCTAATGCTGACCCTGACTCCCACGTCTCCTCCTCCTCCTCCTCTGATTCGGCTTCTGGAGGGGCCGGTGGCCGACAGGCCACAACGTTGTTATTTCAGGGAAGGAGGGATCTGTAAATAGAGTTCCCAAGAAGACCTCGGGAGGGCCTTCAGCCCCATGAACGCTTACAGGCAATCCTCAACTTACGATCGTAATGGAGCCCTGCCCCATACGGTCGTAAGTCAGGGTCGCCATGAAGGGAAGCGCCAACCTGATCTTGATGAGCCCGTTTTTGCAGTGGCCGTTAAGTGAATTGACCATTGTTCAGCAAAGCTATTTGCTGTGGGGGTATGTTTACCCCCAAAAAACTCGGAAGTAACCGTTGGGGTTTTTTTGGGGGGGGTGGGGGAGGCTGAGGTAAAAATGTCATAAATTCCAGTCACGTGACCCTGCTGTAAATTTGGGCTGGTTGCTGAGCGCCTAAAATGTGGTCACATGACCGTAAGGCCCCTGCAGCCCTCAGAACTTCAAAAATAGGTCATAAATAGTCCCAAAGGTACTTTTTTTTGCAACTGGCCTTTCTGGTTTTTTTCTTTGAAGACGTTTTGCTTCTTCAGCTCTGACTGGATGGTGGGGAAGGAAGGATTTGTACTCCTTGCAGGCAGCTGGTCATTTGCGTTCCTTTTGGAGAACCCTTGAGGCCACTTGGAGGTTTGTCGGGGTCCTCTGGGTCACCTGAGTAGTGCAAAATGGGTGTGGAGCCCCCTTAGAACTTCTGAAACAACTGTGTTGTGGACTCCACACCCATTTGCACCGCTGAGGTGACCCTGAAGACACAGACGAACCTCCGAGGGGTCTCAGTGGCTCTCCAAAAGGATGCAAATGACCAGCCATTTATTTATTTTTTTACCATTGGCTGATGGGGATTTTTGTCAGGTATAAATCCATCTGGTCAGAGATGAGAAACGGAACGTCTTCAAAAGAAAAAGAAACAAAGTCCAGTTTCCTCCTGAAAAAAAAAAGTGCCTTTGGGACAATCGTGGCCTGGATGACTTAAGAATCTCCACAGACATTCAGGTGATAAGTCGCTTTTGGCAGAAACCTGTCGTAAACTTGGAATGGCAATCAATCATAAGTCAAAGACTACCTGAGAATACTTCTTGGTGGTCGACTGGTGGAAGGAGGTAAGCTAGCTTGAGGTGGATCCCAGAACCTGAGCTGTAATTCAACAGGAAAGGGACTCGCTGCTTCTGTACGGGTCTTTGAGGAAAATTTTGCTAATTTTGCATAAAACGTCTCTATGTCCCACAGTTTTTGCTGGATATTGCAAGGCAGAAGAACCAAACCCCATTGCCTTTGATTAAACCTTATTCCGGGCCAAGGTTGCCTCCAGACCGATACTGCCTGACAGCTCCAAATTACAGATTGAAGTCTCTGCAGAAAAAGGTAAGGACGTTCACTAAAATCTTTCGTGTGGCTGGGAGAAATCCAGATAACAGGATGAATACGGTTTTCCCATGGCGAGGTGGAAAATATATCCTTAAGAGCTTGGCTTTTAAAATCATGATCCGTTTCCTTCTTGATAACCTCTCAGTTTAAACATTTAGACCAGCCTGCTGCCTGGCGAATTCCGGATGTTGAAGTCCACAACATCATTGTACGTTTTAGAAAGAGACACCATGGTCATTCTCCCCTCAGTATCAAGGTTGCAGCTGTAGTGATGGTCAAGAATTAAGTATCTGGGGGTGCAGATAACTAACAATCTGGCGGTCTCTTCACACGTTATCTTGAAATGAAATGTGCAAAGCAACACGTGCATTTCCTGCGTTGGATGAGGATAGCAACTTTCTCTTTTTTAAAAAAAAAAACAAATTTTATTGATTTTTTAAAGACAAAACATAAGACATAAAGGCATAAAACCTCCTTTCTAAAAATTACTTATAAGTTTTAACAAGACAAATGAACCGTCATTTTTTAAGACATAGTTCCACATTATCACATTTCCATTTAAGCACCTATATATCTTTTCCAAATTTGTCATTATTTCTCCCTTCACTTTTATTCAATTATATTTCTTTCTGTCAAGGTTTTATTAATTCTCAGTCGCATATAAACATTTATACAGCATGGTTCCAGATTATCACATTTCCATTTAGACACCTATATATCTTTTCCAAATTTCTCATTGTTTCTCCCTTCACTTTTATTCAAGGTTTTATTAATTCTCAATCAGACGTAAACACACAAAATACAAAACATAAAACAAGACATAAAAGCATAAAACCTCCTTAATTATCATTTATACACGTCTTTTCCAAGTTTCTCATTGTTTCTCCCTTTAGTTTTATTCCTCCAAGGTTTTATTAATTCTCAATTGAACATAGCTAACCAAAACACAAAACATAAAACTTCTTTTGAAAAGTGGCTTAGCCCCGGGTTACATCTTTTTTTACAGACCTATATCAAATTCATGCTCACCTTATGTACCATTCTTATCTTATTTACCATTCTATATTTTCTATATAACTTCTCCCTTCTTTTCACTCTCTTAATTATATTTTGCTTATTTCATCTTATTTTAAAATCATTATACTTGTATCTTTTGTCCGTTCTTTTCCAATTATCTATATATCACTTCTCTTTAACAGAAGATTTCCCCTGTGGTCACTTTTAAAGTGTAACGCCTTTCTATCTTTCCCCTAAATTAACACTTAAAATAGTAGATAATTTCCATTCTGATTCTGCTTAGTACATTCTACATGTTGCATTTTAAAATAAAGGAATAATAAATTTATAATATCGTTAAGTATATAATTTCCATTCTAATTCTAATTCTACTTAGTACATTATTTTAAAATAAGAAAATGAAATAATAAATTTATAATAACATTAAAGCAATAACAAGTTAGACTGTAGCTAAACATTAATCATTTTACACATTCTCTTTGATATTTTATTGAGTATTGAGATCTATCATTATTAAACATTTTAATATTTTATTAAATCTTATAATATTCCAATGGACTATTTCAAATGCAAATACTATAATACTATCTTATGTACTCTTGCAGAATCTTTCCTTAATACTCTATCCTTTATCTCTGAAAAAAATATGCTTTTTTACATCTTGTTTCAGGCCTTTATGGCTTTTTTTCCTTTTTTCCCTCCCTTTCTTCTCCATTCTGGTATTTTTGCCCCACCCCTCCACCTTTTTAACTTCCCCTCTCTGTTGTATTTCTCTTTTCTGTTGCTTTCTAACATTGTACCTTTTTTTCACCTTATTTTTCTTTTTCTTGGTTGTTTTATTAACTCTTAAATTCTCATTTTTCCTTCCTCTCTTCCTATTTTCTTTCTTAAGTAAACTTTTTTGTCCATTAAAAATGGCTGCTGCTTCTTCTTCTTCTTCTTCTTCTTCTTCTTCTTCTTCTTCTTCTTCTTCT